TCTGGCGCTACTGCACGGCTTTCACGGTGAAAACGGAACCTGGTTTTCCCAGGAACTCTCTGAAAATCGCCCATGCCTTTACCATTGGCTTCCTGGGAAAACCAGGTTCCGTTTTTAACGTGCGTTTTCATGGCCACAGACCCTACTAAAAGAAACAACATCTATTGAAATGAGACACACTCAAGGACATGCACCCACGACGCATACCGCGAAATTACTGGTCGCCGTAACGAATGAGCTGCAAACCAGAACGAGCCCCAACATAGTGCGTCAGCAACGCTTCCTGCCAACAACAGTAAAGTCCTTTCGTGATAACTCGTGGAATATTGGTTGCACGACAGCTAAACCCCAGTTTTTTTAAAGGCACGATTTTGATTTGACTTCCTCAGTGATCATTCATTAATCCGACATTGCCATCGGCTTGCAGCACGGAACACATGACCGATGTTGCCCAATACACTCTCATTCCAGAAACCTGACAATGACGTTGAAAAAAATGTGACAGAATGGCCAAAGCACTATTAGAATTGTAGAGAGGAGACTCCCTATATTACGATGAAAATTGTTTTTGATATGGAGGAGCAGCTGACTTTGTAACATACCTTTGAGAATTTACTTAACCTTTTGATGGACTGCGTTTGTATGTGGAAAAAATACTTCGCGCCAAAAAAATGGCGAGACATAAAGTCTCGCCAAGTTTGGTCAGGCCTGAAAGTCTCGCCAAAATTTGGTCCACGTATACACACTTACAAACGCATGCTTGGCCAAGTACACACTTACAAACGCCTATACTTAGCATGGAGTTGTGCGGCGCCAAACATGCGTTTGTAAGTGTGTACTTTCCAAAAAGTCTCGCCACAAAACGGCCCGACACAAAAGTCTTACCCCAAAATGGCGAGACTTTTGTGTCTGACCACGGCAACTGTCCGGCCCATTACGGCATTTAGGTGGCGGTCAGACACAAAAGTCTCGCCAAATTTTTGGGGAGACTTTTTGTCTGACCGTTTTTTGGCGAGACTTTTTTGTCTGACCAAATTTTGGTGAGACTTTCAGGTCTGACCATAACTTGGCGAGACTTTTATGTCTCGCCTCTGGTGTGGCGAGAAGTCTGACCTTTGGATTTGTAGTGAACGCACTTACAAATGCATGTTTCACTGCAAGAAAAAGTGTGAATAGTACAACAAATTTACAAAGAAAAAACTGTACAATAAAAGTACAACAAGGATTGTAGAAAGTACAACGAGACCTGGACTGCACAGCAATCTTCATGCCGTTTCCATTGTACTTTGAACAACAATTGTTGCACTTTGAAAATACAATAAATGCCCGATAAAAATTTGTCAGAAATTTGTGTGCTTTTTTGTGGTTTTTTCTTGCAGTGTTGCAAGTACAAACGCATGCTTGGCCAAGTACACACTTACAAACGCATGCTTGGCGCCGCACAACTCCATGCTAAGTATAGGCGTTTGTAAGTGTGTACTTGGCCAAGCATGCGTTTGTAAGTGTGTACGTGCAAGCATGCATTTGTATGTGTACTTAGTACACAGTTAGGTTAGTAGTGTAAGGGTTTAGAGTTAGGGACGTGAATTTTTGTAACATCCGTTTTAACGTGATGTCACGTTCCTGGAATAGTAATGTGCAGAGAAGACACATGATCCACGAAGCGGAAAAGGGGAATCTTGACTTAGTATCTCCGATTTGAGTTTTAATTTCATAAGGCCCAAGGCCGAGGGGTGACCCACTGTAAAATTTTGTGTACAATGATTGTGTGAATGTGCAAGAATGTGCAAAATTTCTGGCGTTTTTGCCACACATGTTGCCTACTTACAGGCGTTTTTGCCACCTGAATGTGGAATGTGGTCAAATTTTGTACAACGAATGTGGGAAGCTGTTCCCCCCTCGCCCAAGGCTGGGTGACACGTTCACTACGGAACGAGAACCGTGTTCTCGTTCACGGAAAGGCGTTCGCTCCGACGCGAGAACACCGTCTTTGTTCCAACTGAGCTCAGTTTTTTCACCGCAGACTCGCATGTGGGAGTCGCACAACATTTGCAACCTCAGATTATGAATCGATATAAAATTTCAAAACTTTCGTCGAAACATTTGACATTGTAGCGCATTTGTTAAAACGTTTTCAGTGTATTTTTTGACGGCGGCAACTGGCCTGATCGTACGGACAGCTAAAGAAACAGAATACTGGTACGAAGTACACTTCTTGGCCCCAAAAAAATTGTATGGTCATGCATGGTGCCCCTGGGGGTGGTCATGGTACCCCATGGGGTCACTGAAACCTCCTGCGCAATCAAAATAGGGATTTTTGATTAAAGTGAATCATAGAATTTGACGTTAAAGCGGCTCCTGACTATGCATTAGTGTGTAGTTGTCCAAGTAAGCAGGCCTCCATCATTTCTTTCAGTGATGTTGCACGTCGCCTTTAATTTCATCACAGTAAAAAAAGATTCGCCGTTTTGGTGGTCGTTCTATATCCAATCTCACCGAAACGGGTACCCATACACACGGCGACGGTCCGTCACCAAAACGGTGGACCTGCGTCACTAGGCGGTGTTCCGCCAGAGAGGTAGGATGAACACCACTCATTTTTGAGCTGTCTGTGCATATTTGTGCGTGCCCGCCGGCAACGTTACGCTTTGATGAGTCACGCGAATGATAACTGACACCCCTGACTTGTTTGGTCCTATTTCACATTAATACGACGATTAAAATCGCTGGCGGGAGGGTGACTGCAGTGCCGTTCTGGTGAGGTGGCTGCTCCGGAACGGACCGAGCGCCACCGAAACTAGACCGAGCTTCGCCGAAACAAACAGAGGGCCGCCAGAACAGTTTGAGGGTGTCGCTGTTCTTGTAATATTCTCGTTTTGGCGCCCAGACGTCACCGAATCGGCGAATCTTTTTTTACTGTGATCTCGGGCTTCCGGATGCAAAGCAGTGTGGGTGAAGCTTCAAAAGTCAGCATGTGTCATGGCATTTATTTGCTCTATATGTACAGAATTTCCCACATGTCGAAATTACCACGTTTTACAGAGCAAATATCTTAACGGAACATACCTAAGGGTCAAAAGCTACGTAAACAACGAATCAATATAAGGTTGTGTCGCTGACGACGCCAAATCCTCCTTTCAGACGTATTCCTGTCTTGCAGCCAACTGATCTTGATCAGTTCAGGGTAGTCGTCAGATCAAATGCTGAAATGCAGCAGTTTTATTAACCATACGTGACGTCGCACGAATGACAAGGAAAAAAGCATCGTTAGATTAAAACTAAACGTCAAAGAATTTCGTGAAATTGAATCAACAATATTAGCAAAAAAAAATGAACACATCACAATTATTGCACTCAATACAAGCTTAGTAAAAAGAAAAAAAACAACCATAACCTGTGCAACATGGGCCGTCACACCACTTAGTACGTATAACCGATGCACCTTTGTCCCTGAAAACTGAAAATGACACAAGTACTTTCCGAAAAAAGAAAAACGAAAGACGTTTTAAGACATTTCATGCAAACCACTGGCCAAACTTCGTTAGTGTGCGGTCATTGCAAAACGCTCATTTCCTCCCTATATTATAAGACAAAAATGAAACGGCCACTTTCAAGAAATTTCCAAAACTAAGTTCCAAAAATAAATACAAAGACAACCATGAAGGTTAAAATTCAAACAACTACGCACTTGAGTGACCGTATCACTCTGAATCAGTCGTAAGGTGCTTACAAGGACGAAACCTTGCTTAATTTCTTGTCCCAATCTGAACGCAGAGTAGGAAACTCAGCTGCACGCAACAACGCCCAAGTGACCTCAAATCCAGTTCTTGAAACGTCTTATTGCGACCACGGACTCACGTTGGATGAGCGCATTCCCTTAACATATTCATGGGGAAATAGCACATTCAATGATCTTATCTGCTGTATTAGTCCGTATAGGTAGGCATACCGGTTACACATTTCGTTGAACGGACTTCTCTTAAGTATGGGTCCGAAGGTGAGTCTTGAGATGACTAGCTCGACTGAACTTCTTGTTGCAAACCGCACACTCAAATGACTTCTCTCCTGTATGTGTCAGAAGGTGTCTCTTGAGATCGCTACCACGGCTGAACTTCTTGCTGCAAACCGCACACTCAAAAGGCTTCTCTCCTGTATGGGTCAGAAGGTGTGTCTTGAGAAAGCTACCTCGGCTGAACTTCTTGCTGCAAACTTCACACTCAAAAGACTTCTCTCCTGTATGGGTCAGAAGGTGTGTCTTGAGAACGCTAGCTCGGCTGAACTTCTTGCTGCAAACTTCGCACTCAAAAGACTTCTGTCCTGTATGGGTCAGAAGGTGTGTCTTGAGAACGCTGCCTTGGCCAAACTTCTTGTTGCAAACCGCACACTCAAAAGACTTCTCTCCTGTATGGGTCAGAAGGTGTGTCTTGAGATTGCTTCCTTGGCTGAACTTCTTGTTGCAAACCGCACACTCAAAAGACTTCTCTCCTGTATGGGTCAGAAGGTGTGTCTTGAGAACGCTGACTCGGCCAAACTTCTTGTTGCAAACCGCACACTCAAAAGACTTCTCTCCTGTATGGGTCAGAAGGTGTGTCTTGAGATTGCTTCCTTGGCTGAACTTCTTGTTGCAAACCGCACACTCGAAACACTTCTCTCCTGTGTGGGTCAGGAGGTGTCTCTTGAGATGGCTACCTAGGCTGAACTTCTTGTTGCAAACCGCACACTCAAAAGGCTTCTCTCCTGTATGGGTCAGAAGGTGTGTCTTGAGAAAGCTACCTCGGCTGAACTTCTTGCTGCAAACTTCACACTCAAAAGACTTCTCTCCTGTATGGGTCAGAAGGTGTGTCTTGAGAACGCTAGCTCGGCTGAATTCTTGCTGCAAACTTCGCACTCAAAAGACTTCTGTCCTGTATGGGTCAGAAGGGTGTCTTGAGAACGCTCCCTTTGGGCCCAAAACTTCTTGTTGCAAACCGCACACTCAAAAGACTTCTCTCCTGTATGGGTCAGAAGGGTGTCTTGAGTTTGCTTCCTTGGCTGAACTTCTTGTTGCAAACCGCACACTCAAAAGACTTCTCTCCTGTATGGGTCAGAAGGTGTGTCTTGAGAACGCTGACTCGGCCAAACTTCTTGTTGCAAACCGCACACTCAAAACACTTCCCTCCTGTATGGGTCAGGAGGTGTCTCTTGAGAACGCTTCCTTGGCTGAACTTCTTGTTGCAAACCGCACACTCAAAAGACTTCTCTCCTGATGGGGTCGGAAGGTGTGTCTTGAGATGACTACGTCGAACAGGTTTCCTTCCCGTTTGAGTCTGAAGAAGCATTTGGGGGAGGCCATCCGCGCTCATCTTGTTGGCGACAGCACTCTTGCCTATTGCCTTTTCGAAATGCTGCTTGGCGCTTGAAGATAAATGATTGGCTTCCGAACTGGTTGTCCTACTTCTACTTTCACGTCTGCACGACATTTGCTCCATGGTCTGGGATCTTCCTGAAACCATTCAAAAAAGGCATAAGGGGACAGTAGCGCCATTTACATCATTTTTTTTGTCAAATTTAGACGAAGTTCCTACTGTTACAGAGTCCTTTCTGTACATCGTGGGGCAAAACACTTCGTGCTTAAGCCAAGCATAAAGTTACGCTTGAAGACATTACGCTTGAAATGAAGCACACTGAGAAAACCTAACAAACTATTTCAGGCTTTACAAAGCAAACAGTTTGTTAGAACAAAGAATTTTGAGCATACATACACTGTAATAATTAATGTCCGGAATAAACGACGGATCCTTCGGCAAAAAAATTGCCAACGGTTCCTCCGTTAATTTACGAAGGTCTTCGTATATTTACAAAAACCTTCGTTAATTTTATGAACGATCTCTGTCGATTTTACAATCACAATGGAAATTTACAAAGCACCTTCGTAAATCTACAAAGATCCTTCGTAAATTTACAGGGAACCTTCGTTAATAAACAAAGAACCTTCGTTAATATACAGAGAACCTTCGTAATTATACGTCTGGAATTAACGACGGATCCTTCGGCAAAAAAATTGCCAACAGATCCTTCGTTTATTTACGAAGGTCCGCCGTAGATTTACGAAGACCCGTCGTAGATTAACGAATCCCGCCGTAAATTTACGAAGGGCTTCGTAAATTTACAACAAACTTTGTACATTTACGATTTTTTTTCGTAAATTTACACTTCTCAGGGCCGTTGTGGGGTCTGAAGATGTACCCGATCGGGGTTATCTTTAAAAATCGTTCATAGGGGCCCCTGTTCGGAAATAAGTGTTTTTCGCGGCACCCTATTTGTCAATGTACAAAAAAGTAAAAAATTTTCGGGGACTGTTCTTTTAAAAAAAGTACCAAGAACATTCAAAAAACGAAAAAAATCACTTCACCCGCTAAATAAATAAAAAAAAAAAGGGTTTCCCTTTAACTTGATGCGCACACCTTGGCCTTTCTACTCCTTCCAGTAAGTCAGAAAGAACAGGCCAGTACCAAGTATACGCACCATTTATCGTCCTTTCACAACCGGGCCCCCTGCCATTAAAAACCAGAGCCCTCCCCAATCGGAAGATAGGAAAAAAGGAGCACCGTGCACGTTTGGTTGCCCAACAGGCTCGAGACAGGAGGTGTCCGCAACAGGGCCCCGAAATTTCCACAAAATACATTTACTGGCTTCTGAGAGGTCCAGATGCGAGCGGTAACTGCATTTCCCACTCACTGCGTGAGCTTTGAATGAGAGGGGGCCCTCCGCGGTTGCCAAAACGCAAAAAAAACGCGAGAAAAAACTGATTTTCTGGTGCGTTGTAGAACGTTTCACCTTCCACGGCTAAACGAGTGCGAAACGAGTCGCAATATTTTAAGGCGTTATTCCACTTGTATAGACCCCCTTAAACCAAATATGAGCCAAATCGAAAACATAGGTATTTTGGGGGTAGCTCATGAAATTTTTAGTAATGTTCAGAAAGAGTGTAAAAACGAATAATGACCTACCGACCCAAAAAGTAGCCAGTCTTATGCAAAATTTTATGCTCTTTTCCAAAACTGGCCTCGGATTTTTGATATTTTTAAAAAAAACCGAGTTTTGGGTGATTTTCTGTGACAGTGCACCGCGGTTTTTTAATGACCAAATAAGATCACGTATCCAGATCTCCGGAACGGTCCATTTCTGACCATAACCGTTTTGCAGGGTCATCTATACACTAATGGTGACGATTCACCAAACATGAGCGAAATCGGAGACATCGAAGTCGGGAAGTGTGCGATCTTAACATGGAATCACCCAGGGGTGCAATTCAAAAGATCTTATCTAGGCGTTCCCCCAAGAGAATCGTTCTATAAACGCAGGCGAATTTCACTTAGTTTGATCATTTGATACAGCTACTAATCAATTTAATTTGTGATTTCATTCACTTTAACTTACAGATAAAAGTTGAAAGAAACCAATAGTGCATATGGAGATATATTCCGCTTACTCTCGCATCCGCCCCCAAATGCTCAAACTGAGTGATTGACATTTTTGGTCAAATTTTGACAAAGTTCCTACTATTACAGATTCCTTTCTGTTTATCGTTGGAAAAAACACTTATTATCAATGAAAAGAGGGTTCTTCAAGGATGAGTTTGTAGTGGTTGATCTACTGTCATTTTAGTGGGGTGTGCAAAGGACACAAGACAACGGAACATACTCAGTCCCCGCTAGAAGTTTTTTTTAACCAAAATTTGTCTATTTGTTTTACATACTTGAGCAGTAAAAATGACTCTCTAGCTTCGAAAAGTAATATTGGGAAGTATTTTATTTTTATAACTCAACTTTTATGAAACGTTAAAAAACGTTAGAATTTGTCATTGTAAAGTTTTCTCGAAAAACGTTACATTGCTTTAATCCCGAATTTTCCTTAACGGCCAAACGAGAACAATTCATGGAGACAGAAAGCAGGGAGATGACGCATATAAAATGACAAAAAAATTGATTCCGTCGGTAGCGAGGGCAACCTGCAGATATGTTTGCAGCGCAAGCGCAGATCCAAAAGGGGGAGGGGCGGCATCTGGATACTGCCTAAAATGTAGGCTAAACACCTACACGTTCCCCCTGCCTGTAATGCAAAAAGTGCCACTTTGCCCTCTACCCCTCCTCCCAAATAGCGGAGGACCACCCACTAATTCTGCGCTTCCTCCAAATCTGTCTCGGCTAAATTTGATTATTTTTAAACGCACAATAAATGCTTATGGGCTTGACCATAACTGTGGCTGTGATTGTGCATTCGAAAGTTACGTGCAAATTTGTACGTAAACTAGGTACAATTTTTCAAAATAAGATGAATTTATTTCCAAAGTTGGGGGCTCCTATTAATTTACGAGTTATGGAAGTTTACGTAAACTTTTAGTCGTTTCTCCCAAATTTTCCTCACGACAAAGGATCAGCTACCCAGTCTTCAGATTCTGGCAATTTCATTTCTTTTGGCATAGGAAAAAGAGTGTTGGCAGATATGAAGATATCAGTCAAGAAGAGGCTGTGAAAGCTATTTTACGAGGCCTATTTTTATTTTTCTTCAAATTTGAGCCGTTTTTGCAATGCAGAGAGACACTGTCATACGTTTTGAGATAATTTACAAAAAGTTAACTTAGACGATAACACAGAATTCGCGATTCCCACGATGTATCACACCCTGGAGAGCAATAACTTCGATACTGCAGTCGTTTTTGCAATTACCACCCCTTAATTTTAGCGATCAAAGAGCCTTTTCTAAGAACATTTTACAGGAACAAAATATAGACAGTGGTCATTGCAGTTTGATTGACAGTGAAGTCATCGCATTACAAACAAACAAGGCAGATTTTACGAAAGCTCACGAACGCATCCACTCGCTTCGCAAGGTTTTGAGTGTGCAGAATTGCGCTCTCTCTCAACGTACCTGGTGAAAGCCTTCGGCTCAGAGGAGCGCCAGTGATGATGACGGACAGATAAGTTGAAGAGTTGACTTGACTGGGGACAAGGCAGAGCAGCGTCGCCGTCGCAGCCCCGGGAAGTCGTAGTGGTAAATCGCTGGCTCTTTCCACCCGGAACGGCAACTCTGCGAAAACAAACGTTCTTAAAATTTTGTGACATTCTACATTCGGATAAGAACCGAGCAAGCTCATAATCACCCCCGTCCCAACCAATCGTCTCTTGTCAATATTCATTGACATTTGTGAGCCCGGCGGAAACCATCATTTTGGAAACATGTTGAATATTCGTCTTATGCGTCTTGTCGAGACGACATATTAACATTCCGCAGTCCTTACTGACCCTATTTTGATACTCTCGCACCGATATAAAGACGAAAACCTTATTAATTAGACTGAAATGGTCGCAAATCGGCAGCAGCCATGCCCTTGCCTCTCCAAGTATGAAAAATTTCACAGTCTGAAGACGTTTGAAAAAATAGCCGAATAATCGTTTAATAAAACAAGTTTAGCGGATTAGTCGCTGCAAAAGTATCAAAATATGGTCAGTAAGGACTGCGGAATGTTAATATGTCGTCTCGTCTTGGGCGTTTTCGGCGAATTTCATGCATGCCAATCGATTCCTTGACCTTTATTCTACCAGACACGTCACATCTTTGACTCTAAATACACTGTTAAAAAAAGTCTGAGACTTCCTACTCTGAAATAGGAATTTTGACTCAAGTCTTAAAATTTAGACTTTTAGTATAAATTTTTTGAGTGCACAGTCTGAAATGCGTTTTCAGACCGAGCAGATGAAAATTCAGACTTGATGTTCTTAATTTTCAGAAATCTCTGGTCTTTCTTGTAGATTCAGACCGCAGTCCAAATTTTTTATCGCCTGGTCTGTATACAATTTGTAAATCTCTTTATTTCTATAGTCAAAATCGTGTCGTTAAACACAACATTCGATTATGGTATGTGAATCACTTGGAAACCGATGAGTAAGGGAGAGTGGGGTAATTCCGGACGCTTTTTTTCTTTTTGGTCTTTGAGCTTGAATATGCTTCTTGGGTTAAATGTTATGACAGGAGAGTAAAGTATGGACCTTTACCTTCAAAACGGTATACATGAAAGCCAAATCTCAGCAACGGTTAGGGAGATATAGGCCCCAAAACAAAGGCCCTGCACGTGTCCGGAATTGCCCCAGGCTGGGGTAATTCCGGACGACCTATGGGGCAATGCCGGACGACCTTAAAATTTGACACTACTCGAGCTTACTTTCGCTTGTTTTGATGTGAGGCATGCTCTTAGAAGGCGTTTAAGGACATTTTCTGCGAACTGAAGTGTTTGATTATTACTCAAAGCATATTATAAGGATAATTTCTATCAAAACCCCTAAATTGACAACACTGTCTTGAGTAAAGCTCTTAAACATAGCTGCAATGCTATTTTTCGTTCTTTCTTATCCTTCTTAACGGTGGGGATGCATGTCCACAATTTTGAACCCACTACCTTAACATTATGCGGGAAATTGAAGAAAATAACCCTTATTGTCCGGATTTACCCCACAGGTAGTGAAAACCTTTTATGTTCAACTGTAAGAAAACGGCGAGCCATACGAGCACTCTCGAAACGCCAAAGTAAAGTCCAATGACCATTAAATATGATAAAATTTTAGTCATGGGACTGAACTTGACGGTAAGGTACGATAAGTACATGGAAATACGAGGGAAAGATGCAGCTTTTGCCTTTTTTTGATGGTACTCAAATTTCGTGAAGCGACCACAGGCAAACGGTTTGACCTCCTACTTTAGCGATTTGGAATTCTCCTTTTAAACTGATTATCTTCCTCTGTTAGGCGGGCTTTTGAGTTATCTTCATTCAAACCCAGTGAAAATCGAAGTGTCCGGAATTACCCCGTGTCCGGAATTACCCCACTCTCCCTTAACTTCGCGATGGGCCGCCAATACCCCTATCGGACGGCTCCGCCGAGTCGCAGCATGTTGTCGGCTCGACGCTCACCGGAGCACACAAGCGCCACACAGCTTAACGGACAAGGTGGCTGGCTCGTGACCCGGAGGTTTCCCGGGGTTCGAGTCTCAAAGGCAGTACCAAGTTTCGGTATAATTCTAAGCTCAATTCTTCCAGGGGAAGGTCAATTGATAAGACCGACGAAGAATATTTTGATTTCAGAAGCACTACCGCTTAAATAAATTTTGCGGTCTGAATTTTCAGACTATTCTCTTGTCTATATTATCAGACTAACTAGGTCAATAATTTCGGATTTTCAAAGTCTGATTTTTCAGAGCAATTCTTACTCTGAATATTCAGACCAACGTTATGAAAATCTGCTTTTGACTATTTGGTCTAAATTTTCAGAAATTTTTTTTAACAGTGAAGGTTTCTATAGATAAGTCTTGATTTTAAGAACTAAAAACGGCGCGACGCCAGCGCCGCCCGGTCCAGCGGCCCGACCGGCTGCGAGGGTCAGGGGCGGCCCTCGTAGTTGCCACCGGCTGTTTTAAATTTGTAAGTGAAAAAATATGAATACGATCCCCAAAAACACCAAATCTTATAAAACTAGAACTTTTAACGGGTATTCAATAAGGTGATCAACCTGACCTTAACAATCTAGGTGTAAATCCTGAAATCAAGCGCAACAGGGTCATCCGCCCCATTTTCCCTAACACCCGGGGGAATTCCTGCTTCATCTCAAGCGTAACGTCTTCAAGCATGACCATGACCCTATGCCTAACTGACGCCTGCAGTCTGCTCGAGAGTCTGCTAGAGTTACGCTTACAGCATGCTTGACTGGAGCATGAATTAGTTTGCTTCAATACCGGCCCGGAAGATCTTGATCCGAAACTTGGACCGATCCAACTGACCGTCACTTTCCCACCATCGCAGTCCGGGGCGCGCATGCCGTGTATACGAACCTGCTAAAACCTCAACTTACTTGGAACTTGAAATGTTGGATTGATAATGTCTAGCGTCCGGTCAAATCTACCGTCGCAATGCCCTACCCTCTACCCAAACCCTAAACGCCTTAACCGCAGGGGAGGGGCGCTGACGGACGGCGCGGTTCCACCGCCCTAGCGTAACATGGCGAGTCTGATACGCCGGCACGCGGCTACGCGCGCCCACCTTCCAGCCCGCCACAGCCAGAACCGTCTGCCCCAATCGACACAGACTCAGTCGTCCAGCGGCGCAGCAAATAGTCAAAAGTATGACAAAAGACTCGGGAGTGGAAACACTGCAAGAAAAAGTGTTAATAACAACAAATGTACAACAAAGATGTAAAATAAGAGTACACCAGGGATTGCAGAAAGTACAACGAGAATTGTACAAACCACAACGAGGCCGGACTACACAGCACTCGTCATGCCGGTTCCATTGTACTTTGTACAACAATTGTTGTACTCTGAAAGTACACTAAAAACCTGATAAAAAATTTGCCAGAAATTTGTGTACTTTTGTTGTGGCTTTTTCTTGCAGTGAACCTCACAGACTGAATTACCTAAGGGTTATCCGTTGCCGTCTGGATTTCGTCGTAGATCGCAGCACCGCTGGAAAACCCCCACGTCCCCTCACAAATCAGTTTCCGCGACCGCGTTGGGGGAAACGTTCGGACACTAGGAGAGCGTCAAACGATGATGGAGAACGGTAGTGATCGGACACGGTAACATAAGTCTAATTTTTTGGGGGTTTTGACAGAGCCGACTCTTTAATGATAGTAGCACTGACAGGCTCTTCAATGTAGCAAGATTCAATGTAGCATGCACAGATAAATTCCTAAAAAGAACTGCTCTTTGTAATACCAAGAAAACGGCGGCTTCGCAGCCTGCGTAGGAAATCGTTTGTAATACGAACGATTTTCTTCGTGATACGAAGTAAAAATCCTTCGCAGGCTGCGAAGAAGTTCTTCGTAGGCTACGGAGAATTTTTCCTTTGCATTACAAAGAAAATCGTTCGTATTACAAACAATTGCTTCGCAGGCTGCGAAGCCGCCGTTTTCTTTGTATTACAATAACAGGAAAAGTAGCGATATACATCGGCAATTTTGGCCCGTCCCGTACATTAACAATGTGTGAATTTCCCCTTTTGTTTAACCCTGACAAATTTTAAAACCGGGGTCTAGGGTCAAAATAGATGTTATTTTCGTCATCAGCCCCTCAAAAACATAAGCAACAATGCAAAAACTCGAATGAAAAGAAAGTTTAAAATATACCCCACTGGGATTTAAACCCCGGGGTCCGAACTTCTCCGATTCGTTCGAAAGTGCCACCATTTTTTTTTTTCTCGTCGCACCGATTCCAAAAATACCCCTACATGCCCTGCTAGCTGCATCCGTTGCCGAGATCCTCCTCGACCCCATGTAGACCATGATGCACCTGCAGCAGCGCCCCGGGGGCTCGGATCGGATTTGCTGCCACCGGGCCGTTCTTAGGGTCCCCAAGGAGGCTGCATCCCAAAATTTTGGTCAAGATCGGACCACGGGAAGTCCTCGGGCCAAAAAGCAGTTCTTTGTAGAGTTTTAAGTGTGTGTACCAAATACTTTTTGACAAAGGAATAAAACATATTCCTCCCTTTCAAAAGGGATCGCTACTTATATCCGATTCCCTTTACTTACGGTTCAACGATTCTTCTCGTTTTTAAGTCTTAAGTCGAATGGCCTATTATAAGTTCAACGTCTCACTCAACATCAGCAATCAAGCGAAAATTTTGGGGTCTGCTTCCGGCTTAAGCAACTCCACCTTTTCACTCTGAGCTATGATACACATGCCCAAAAGACCTTTTCAGTCGCCGCGAGTGAAGAACAAAAATAATCAAAACGCAAGGGACCGCCTAGACTACCTACTGGTTTTTTAGCTTTATGATTTCTTCGCTCGGCGACGACCGAGAGGGTCCATCTATTCGACAAACCATGGGCAAACCGAATGATTGACAGGATTTTTTAAGGGTGTTGCGAGGGTGTTGCTTGCAACTTCAGCGTACTGCTTTCGCACTGTGCTTGAAAAATTTAACAGATGCAGATTGCATGACCTTCGTACCAAACTCAACTTCAGATGTATCTGTTTCCTCCGTAAATTATTCTTCGCAACCGAGTAGTTGAAACTCCGGATTTACCTAGGGCGATGTTTGTCGCGCTCAATGTCACGGTACTACGCGAAGAGGCAGGCGATACTCTAGTCCCAATCGTCACAAACGCGGACCAAAACTAATTTATCGGCGTCCCGTAAGCTGCAAAGCATAGTTTTAGGCACCTATGAAGGTTTTTAAAGGGGGTCAAACTGCAAATCTTCAATTTTTTTCCCCGTTTTGAAAATCCAAGGGGCGCCAAAAAGGGGGAGATTAACCCCTTCCAAAAATCGTTTTTTTGGGCCCCCCCTTCTATTCAAAAAATAGGGGAGGGCCCATGCATTTGCCTTTGTGTCTGTGTGTTTTTGTTGTTGTTGGGGTCTGTGTACAAGGAAGGAGTTTAGCTAGAGTAACCAGATTTGGAGGGTACTTCAGGAGTACCGTCCAAACAAATAATCCGGTGGTGCAAATCTCGTCCGGGTCGCACAAGGGGTGCTGCAGGTGCATCATGGTTTACATGAGCGGGAGGGGGATTTCCGCCATTATTGGTGCTAGCAGGGGACATAGGGGGATTTTCGGAATCGGGGCGACGAGACAAGATGAATGGACCATGGTCCCGACCCCGTCGGCCGCTTTTACAAGTTGGCTAGATCAGGATCTTCAAAAAAGGGGTCGACCGACTAAAAATTTTTTTTGCAGATTTCGATTGGTCTCAGCAAGACCTTTCAACGAGGGGGCGGAAAGGGGGTCCAGGAGCCCGACTTCGTCTATTAGTCACATCAAGATCTTGAAAAAAGGGGGGCGACCGACTGAAAATTTTTACTTAAGTTTTGGATAGGTCTTGGCAAGACCTCTTCAACGAGGGGTCGGAAGGGGGGGCCAGGAGCCCGCCTTCATGGGTTTTGAGAAAAAGTGCGACGGACTCGTTTTGCGCTCCTGCTGTGCCTCTATTGCAAGGAGTTGCAGTAGCATGGCAAATATGGGTATTTTCGGAATAAGGGCGAAGAGACAAATGAAATGGGCATATTCTAAGGACAGTTGGAGTAAAAAGTGTAAGGAATTGCATATTGTGAATAAAAGGGGGCCTAAGTCACGATTGTACATCGATAACTTTCCCACTCACGGTGGTGTGATGCGAGCGGGCCGAAGGCCCGCACTGTGGCAAAAAGCTACGGAAAATTCTGTAAACAGCTTGTGGTATTCTCCGTAGGCCCCTTATTAGTGGCCGTCGACATTTGCGACTTTTCGATTTTGACAACGGAATAGCACTCAAAAGTTGCGTTTTTTAATGCTGATTTCAGATCGTGGCAGGTCTTTCAGAGCGTGGCAGGAGCATCAGCCACATAGCACTTCACTGCAACATTGTAGTGCACTTGGTTCAACTCAATGCCTGTGGCCTGGAGCTCTTCCACTTCCTCCACATACTTCTCAAGGAAGCCATCAATGGGATCAGGATCCCCACTGCCATAAAATACACCAATTTTATAGGGCCTCTTGTCCACAAAATCATGAGATCGGAAAAGAATAGGAGTGAATTTGTGTGCTGCTTTTCTGTAACATTTGACACCATCAACAAATACATCCAAATATATTGTCTGAACATTTTCATTAATGCCTTTTTTGGACCTTAAGATGATGCCCTCTTTGAGGCCAAAGTGGCAATATTGTCCATTCTTCAAATTGTCCACAAAAGTTGTCGAGGGAGTTTCAAGTAGCTTTTTTGCATATCCTGGGACATTGGGGTGAATGGACGGAGAATCACAAGCAACTCATTAATAGCAGCATGGGGTACTTCGTATGTTGCTGCCCAGTTGCGCAGTGAATTATTGAATTATCAACTTCATTACGACCTCCATCCTCCTCTACGAACCCATCTTCATCCCCACCAGATTCATCAGAGTCAGAACTGAGTTCTTCCAAATTGCTGTCAGGGGATGAGAAGGCATCACTGTCGGTGTCAGCATCGTCAACATCATCAGCTTCCCCTTGCTCTGCAAACAGCTCTTGTGGAGGATCTTTGTGGTGGATCTTGTAGAGGCTCTGGGGGATGCTCCGTAGGAGGCTCTTCTGGAGGATCTGGTGGCGGCTCAACAGCAACTTCTGCTGGCTGTTGATTGTGCCGCAATATATGTTGGAACTCCGCCTGAACCTGTCTGCGAGCCAATTGCCTCACATAATCAGGGTTCAGAGCCTCCCCATTGGCTTTTCTGTTTGTCATTTCACTAGATGAAAAGATTCAATAAAATAAAAAGATATTAAATTGATGTGCAGTGTCATTCAAAGCGCCCTTTGAAGCCACTGATGTATTAATTCAGATTCTTTATCCCTTTCATTAAAAAGATACTTGAAACTCCTTCCGCAAATAATGCATACATCTTTCAATAAATTATATAATGGTCGTTGAATTGCATTCAAGATAATATTCAGACCAAAATTATGACGTGTTTGAACATGAAGTGGCAGAGAAAAGAAGAGAAAAACTAAATATTGTAGCTATTGCCAACATGAACAGGACTCCTTAATATTAAATTCTTAAATTTATTTTGTCGTAAAGGGGGGAACCGAACCTCCCTGACACCATGCTGACATTTGGACTATAAATAAGTGGTACTCCCAAGACGACTATGTAAATTTAATAGTTTAATAATATAATCCTTACCTTTTTTGAAGTGGATTCCATTTTATGACCATAAATTTAAACTTTAAGATTCGCTACATGTTACAAGCAGTATTCAATAGCCTGCAAAAAAAATCCATTTTAAATTTTTAAAGAAACTATTTTTGTGAAGCAGTTTACAAAGTTTTTTTTGCTATTAAAAGTAAGAAACTTTCTCCTTTTAAAAAACTAATGCCAAATTTTTTAAAAATTCATAGATTATGGTTTATTAAAATTCATAAACAAATTTGACTAAAGGGGGGAGAAAAGAACCTCTATACCGACGCCCGGGTTTCGAGTGTGGATGTCAGAATTCTGAAATGCATCTTACATCGTGTCACATTTCAGTGTGGGTTTGCCCAAAAATTATTCGAGTCCAAAAGACCTGATACTTGTTTTCCCTTCCATCTTCCGACTGTGCCGCAACAGAGGAGGTGCCTGGACCAAACCTAATGGCCGACAGCAGACGCCAGCGAGTGGCAACATGGTTGTGCTTTTTTTCTCAACTTCAGTGGAATATTTTGAAAAAAAATTTGAGCTAGGGGCTAGAGAAGACATTTACTAAGGCAACAGTGGTATCATTTGCCAAAAGAATTTTCTTTAGAAATACAAATAGGAAATTCTTAATCGGGAACGGACACGGCGCTCTAAGCGCCACCTACCCGGCAGGTCTGTGAAACCTGACCTTGAACCCAGCGGCTGACTGGGGGTCATACCGTGTGAGAAGTGGTTTGGTCGACAGTTTGCGTGAAGTAATCAACTAAACCTTCGGGTTACGTTGAATGGGGACAGCTATCACTGAACGTTCAATTTTAACCTCAATCAGTTAGTTTCAAAAAATCTAGTTATGAAAAGTCATCAGTCATGTGGATTTTAAAAACCCAAATTTTTATTTTTGGCAGGCAATCTTAATTTTGACAACCCAGTTCCTAAGTTTTAAAAGGGGTTTTTTGAAATTTACCAATTATTTATTACTTTTCATTTTAGTTTTGGTAAATGTAATAAAGTATAGCACTTTTCACAAACTTTTCTGATTTTTTCACATCATTTCAAAAGTTATTAAATTTAAGACATTTTCATGTTTTAAATTTCAGAATTTTTTTTGCAGTGTAGCACACGGAAAATTTTGGGCCCCCTGGGATTCCCAGGCCAATTGGTTCATTCCCAGGGTATTTGGTTATTTCCCAGGACGGACCCTGGGAACGGTGCAATATTCCCAAGACGCCGTGAATATTTCCCAGGACGGTCCTGGGAATTATCCAAAAGCCGCCAAACCCAGGACGCGTCCGGGGAAATTTTTTGGAGTGTTCCCAGGGTCCATCCTGGAAATTTTCCCCCTTTCCCGGGGAATCTATCTGGGTCCCCCAAATGCCCCCCCAGACCCCCCCACCGTGTCGACTTTCACAAGTCTTTGTCATGTAGGATGTCATCGGCGACCTCACAGGGTGCCCGATGACGTCCTCCTGGGGTTCGCCATGACGACGTTTGACCGTGCAGTCTGGACCGCACGGACCTACCCAATCCGATGCCGAAGTCCGTTTTGTCCTGCGACCAGTAGTTTGGGAGATACGAGGACGTACCACGAGGTCGCCGTCCAGGCAGAGGAGGAAGTGGTGATTTTTTGGAGGCCAAAGTAGCCCTGGCCGCCGTTCTATCAGGTGTCCGGTGTGACGGTGGTCACGGGGGGCCCGGGGACCGCCCAGCCAAAAAGTGCAAGCGCAGGCAGATGCTCGGGAAGGTAGGGAACCGACTGGCGAGCCGTGCCGGGACTCGGCAGCGAGGGGTGAATCACTCAGCGTCCTAGTGTACACATGAGTACATGAGTACGGCCGAGTACACCTTGTTTTACTCATAAATTTTTACATTTGGAAACATTTTAAGGCTTCATTTTGCGTTTTAAAAAGGCACTCAACACCAAAACAGTCGCAAAACTAGTGATTTTTGTCCTTTTTGAACTTGTGAGTACACTGAGTTAGGGGCAAATTTTTACACATGAGTACACTAGTGATTCACCCCCCGCTCGGCAGTCGGTGTGGGGCCTGCCAGCGGCAAAGACCAAACCAAGTGTCGGGAGTGCTGAGAGCTTGTATCAAGGTAACCGGACTCTTTCCTTATTCTACAACCCTCACACCCGAGTAAACCCCTGACCATCAGAGAGCTACATCCCTGACAAGTGCTCTGGCCCCCTAAACTGCCTGCTGGGTCCGGGACTTGTACACCGGGGCTTCTGACTTTGGATTAGGGTGCAGGGGGTCTTCGCCTGTCCTGAGTCCGAGTTTGGCCTCGATGAGGCCATCAGACTGCCCCGGACGGCGATTATTGGTTGTTTTGGCGGCAGGTAAAAGGGTTTCAGTTTTGGGCGGTTGACCCCCCCCTGGTCAAACCATGAGACCTGTCGAGACCAACTTCCGGCTATGGGTAGCTGAAGACCCCCGAAAACCCGAATCCGAAGTCAGAAGTCCCGGGCACCCGATAGAAAAAGCGGCCAGAGCTACTTTGGCCTCCAAAAAATCACCACTTCCTCCTCTGCCTGGACGGCGACCTCGTGGTACGTCCTCGTATCTCCCAAACTACTGGTCGCAGGACAAACGGACTTCGGCATCGGATTGGGTAGGGGCCGTGCGGTCCAGACTGCACGGTCAAACGTCGTCATGGGGGAACCCCAGAGGACGTCCATCGGGCACCCCCGTGAGGTCGCGATGAAAACCCTACATGACAAAGACTTGTGAAAGTCGACACGGTGGGGGATCTGGGGGGTCATTTGGGGGACCCAGATAGATTCCCAGGGAAAGGGGGGAAAATTTCCCAGGACGGACCCTGGGGAAAACTCCAAAATTCCCAGGACGCGCCCGGGTTTGGCGGCTTTTGGATAATTCCCCCGGAACCCCCTCCTGGGGAAAAATTCACGGCGTCCTGGGAAAATTTCACCGTTTCCCCGGGGCCGTCCTGGGGGAAAAAACCAAAAAACCCTGGGGAAAGAAACCAAATTTGGTGGGAAACCCAAAGGGGCCAGATTTACCGTGCAATAGTGATTTCCCTTTGCCCAACACACATTCGCATTGACGTTCTATCGTTTCTGGCTAGTTTCTTGGAAGGCTTCTGCGATAGATGCGCCCGCGGCAGAGCGCAAATTCGGGCCGCAAGGCAGAAACGCTTCTGGTGCGCTCTACAAGCGCTGCGTTTCCACCGGGGAGAACTCTGACGGTTGGCCGCCGAGCCGCGGCGAGCCGTGCCCTAAGTCTACGTAGAGTCTTGTGCTCTATGGTATATATTTGGTGTTACCTCCTTTTTCATCCAGTGTTCCAAAATAAAGGCGGAGATTAGTCGAGTAGGCTCTTTACACATTAATTACATTCATTAGAATACAAGTTATCTCCTTTTGCCATTTTGTGCAACGGATTCATGTGGAATGCGATTGAGTTCCTCCATTATCCGATGAAATTTGGACCGTAAAAGGGGTCAAATTGAGTTAAATACGTTGTCCATGCGGATTCCTAAACCGCTAGGAATTGAGTCAAGTAATAATTAGGTGCACTGATTCAAACCGACGTGAGGAGATAGAAACTCAATTTGAAGATAAATCTAGTTATTGCCTTCTTCCTCTTTCGTGAATCAGTTCATGCACTTAATTGTCCATAAGTACACAGCTTTTAAAGAACCGTACTTTGCACCTTGGGCCAGCGAGACACTTGAGTTTGTTGAGTAGCAACAATGATACAGGAACCAAAATAGAAACTTCTTTAAGTTCTGATTCACTCTGAAATTCTCAACTTTTTCGGCACTTTTCAACATCTCAAAGTAAGAAATTGTCTAAAATTTAGATGTTTTTATCATTTTAACAGGAGATTTCATTGAATGGAAAACATGAACCAAATACTCGATTTTTTTAAAAAACATGCTTTACTGGCTGCAATTAACATACAACATTTTATACTTCAAAGTTTTGACAACAGTCAACACCCAAACACTGAGAGCCAGTACTAATTAAAACCAGTGCACACTCATTACCTCAATTAAATCCATTCTCAACATTCTGATTCACATCCACATAAACGCCATCATTCTCTTCCGTGCGCTGGCCAGCAAGCCCGCCCGCCGAGCGTCTCTCTCCCTTCTCTCTCTCTCTCTCTCTCTCTCTCTCTCTCTCTCTCTCCTCTCTCTCTCTCTCCCTCTCTCACTCTGGCACGCTCTCTCGCACAGTAGTGAGACTGTGACTGCGGCCGCGCTGCCTTGACCCTTGGCATTACCCTTCCCCCTCCCGCACTCCGCACTACGCGAGCGGCTAAGTGGGTTCATGCGCCGTGCCGCGCACAGCACAGCAGACTGGTTCCGAGAGTAATCTTCCTCGCTCTCTCGCACCAGTCCGGAACGCGCCTTGAGTGCAAGAGAGACAAAGCGTCGAAAACGACTCGGTGAATGAGTCTGCAGAGACGGGCTCCGGCCTCGTCTCCGTTTTCCCGACAGGGGAGAGGGGGCAGGAAGGCGGGGGAGTTGCTATTCTTCCCAGCGGGATTATTTTCGGGATCTGCCGAGTTTAGTGTGCTTCGCGCGAGTTCCAGGACCGCACAACGCCGTGCGAGCAGCGCCAGCCCGCCTCTTCCGTCCAGCGCACCTCGAGGTAGGCCCGAGCGATATCTCGATGTATCGAGGTCGATACGATATCACCCTAATATCGAGGCGGACGATTTTCGATTTTGAAGCACAGCGAGGGCTCGATACATCGCGATATCACGATTTTACTGTCATGCACGCCTTCAAAACGGCGATACACAAAAGTGTCGCGAAAATTTGGCAACAAACAAAGAACTAGTCCCCCTGACATGATCTAAGTCAATTGTCAAATCTTGGCAGTACTTCATTGTACCGCCAAATTTTGACGAAAGGCCTACTTTTGTGTAACGCCGTTTTGATGGCAAGATTTTTCGGTAAGGCCGTTTTTAGGCAAAACTCAATTATTGCCGCCCCCCCTCCCCAAAAAAACAACTAAAAACAAGAGTATTACCTTCGGATTTAGAGTGTTGCCACTCAGTGAGGATGGCCCGGTATGGCCTCTATGTTTTAAATTCGACGACAACTCTTCTACCACTGTTCGTAAAAGTAAAATCCCTCTTAACGACTTAACATCAAACACACACTCATTCCAGGAACGTGACATCACGTTGAAACGAACGTGACAAAATATCACGTTCGTTTGAGCGTTGTGTCGTCACATTCATTTGGATGTGACTCGGCCAAAAATTCTCTTGTTCACACTCAAACGAACGTGACATTTTGCAACGTTCGTTTCAACGTGATGTCACGTTCCTGGAATGAGAGTGCCATGAACTTTTAATAAACTGCCAGCGAAAATAGCCAAAATTAAACTGGGAGTGGTTTTTCGGCCGAGGAAGGCGGTGTGAGGGTCACGTGACCGTGACCATTGGAGGATCTCTGAACCGCGATTATTGGAGATCTAGGAACCGTCGGTATCCCGATATCTCTCGACATTCTCCGATTTGGCGCGATAAGCGAGCCGGAAAACGCCACACACTAAATGTTTATGTAGCATTTTGTACGTGCCATCTGCACGAATTTGCCTAATATTATGCGTGAAAATGCACAAATTTATGCGAATTTCTGCACAATTTTATGCATAACGTCACGCAGGTTTAGAATCGTGCATCACGACGTACAAAATTCTACATAAACATTTAGTGTGCACGTTCTCGTCTTGACGCCTCGTGTGACCAGCAAATGGACCGGACCGCCACTGCCTAATTTTGCCGTATCCAGCCGCCTCCGCCGCAACGGAATTGCCTCGGCGTATTTGTCTTGCTCAATGATCGTGTTTGTCATAGGCCTACGTGTCTTTCCGAGATGAACGTGAATGAGTTTTGATAATCATGGTCTTTTAAATAGCCCTTGCTGTGTGAAGAACAAAAGTAATCCAAAAGTCAAGAACCAGCACACAGCGGCGCGAAACGCAAAAAAGTGCGACATGGAAATTATTTTCCGATTTGTCTTCTTTTTCGCGGTATATGGTCACTTTATGATATAACCTAGTAAAAGAATTAATTTCCTATGAATAGCTAGGCATATACTAGAGCTGAAAATAGCAAAAACTTAAAACATGGAAATGTTGTCACAAAACCTGCAATTTTTTTTTACTTGTGTTTTGCCCGTAAAATCGACAATATTTCGATTCTGCAACTTTTCGTGACAGATTCTGTAAGCTAAGGACGGCCTACAACTTTTGTTATGGTCGGAACGCTGTAGCGAGGTCTGCCATTCAAGTCGTTTTCGTAAATTTCATTCGAAAATAATTTAATTTCGACAGTGTATATTCTGAAAGCCACGACCGAACATTTGGTGACCAAGTGTTCTGTTACAGGTTCAGCCCCGTGGGCGCCGGCATCAGGCGCCATGCCAGGCGGTGGCGGCACCCCGCGGGAGGGGCCGGGACCCTCGTGGTCGCAGATGAGCCCGTGGCAAAAGGGGAGGCACATTGTCGCCAACGTGACGGTGGAGCCCATCATCATCCTGTACTCCATCCTCGGCGTGCTGTCGGGGCTCACCACCGAGAACCTCTTTGTGCAGAAAGCGTGCCGCGTCAGCCTCAACCACAGCGCAGGGCTTTGCGCTGACGTCGTGCAGAACGACACGGTGTATCCGGAGGTGAGTCGCCTCCGGCCGCGCCACCAAATGTACCGTGAAGTGGTGTGACTCAAGACAATTGTGGGGTAACTTGAGACAATGTTGAAATAACTTGAGACAATTTTGGAGTGAATTGAGACAATTTTTATTGCACGGTAAAAACGGCACCTGGTTTTCCCAGGAAGCCTTTGGTGAAGGTGTAGGTGATTTCCAGGGAGTTCCTGGGAAAACCAGGAACCGTTTATATCGTGTGGGTACACTGCAAACCTAGCTGTCTACCAAGTACACACTTACAAATGCTTACTTGCAAGTACACACTTACAAACGCATGCTTGACGCCATATAACTGCATGCGTCAAGCATGCGTTTGTAAATGTGTACTTGCAAGCATGCATTTGTAAGTGTGTACTTGGCCATAAGCATGCGTTTGTAAGTGTGTACTTGCAAGCATGCATTTGTAAGTGTGTACTTAGTAGACAGTTAGGTTTGTAGTGTAAATTCAGCCAGTTTTACCTTAGACACACATGAAATCCAGACGCGGTTTAAGGAGCCTTCGACAGGAAGGGGGGGGGGGACAACATTGTGTTTATTTTATCTACCTACCCGGCCGGGCCATGTGCTGCTGGTTGGTTTAGGGAATCTCCAAAGGGGATTGCACTCCTCCTTTCGCCCGTTGAAAGCACGTGTTTGGTCACAAGAGGGCTGTATGGCAGTGTGACAAAACCCAATGTTTTTTGTTGCGGAGGCACGGTGAAGCGGCATTTCAACCTATTTCACGCCCTAACTTTGCTGTTTATTTATTTATTTAATTATTTTTGCCTTATTGGGGTGAGATTTCAGATTTCTGCAGGGAAGATTTGGTGGACTCTTAATTTCACGAGTGGTTGCCCCCTCGTGATTGACTCACACTTCATTACTATGTAGGTTTTTCTGCGCGCCAATGCACGAAATTAAACATTCACTTTGTAACGCACAAATCTGTGCGCAACAATGCAGGATTTTCTGCATAATCGCGCACGAAATCGTTCATTTTCGCACACAAATTCGTGCGTTACAAAGTGCATGTTTAATTTCGTGCATTGGCGCGCAGAAAAACCTACAAAGTAATTTAGTGTGCTGTAATGTTGAAAGCCCACATAGGTATCTTAAACCGTGTAGCCATGCAGCGGTCTCAAAATGCCACTAAATTTCCGTTTTTTTTTTTTTTTTTTAAGTTTAACTTGTATTGGCCCCCTTAAAACCTTTCCTGTCCTCAATCCCCGAAGGTAGCCAAGGTGGTTGCCAGCATGCAGGTCTGGCAGGCGCCTCTGCAGACCGTAGTCCCCGTCATCCTGGTCATGTTCGCGGGGTCCTGGATGGACAGGCGGCGGCGGCGCAAGCCCTTCCTCTTGGCGCCGCTCGTCGGGGGCCTCCTCTGCAGCACCGGGCTGCTGCTTTGCTCCACCTTCTTCGATTGGCCACTCGAGGTAGGGCACCGTTAAAGATGAATTAGAAAATTATCTCTAAAGTGCGTCCTGAAGCTTCTTCAGGAATTTTCGGAGACTTCATGCTCTAAAACATAAATCGTGAAAATTCCAAAGGGGTTGACAACTACCTCGAGCCGAGCGGTACGTAAAGTGAATTAAATATGTGGTACTAAAGAGGTAGTATATATAGCAATGTACGGTCTTATAAGTCTGTAGAGAGTTAATTAATTTTCGCTACGCGTACGAGTTAATATGGGAGTTGTTGACTCCTCGAGAAATTCCCGGAGAATTTGTCTAACAATTGCCTCCGCTCTTCGTCCGAAACCTGAAGTGTTTTGATTTTGAACGAGTTACCGACAGTTATCGTTTATTTTGTTTGAAACCGAAACCTTCGTAGATTTTGGACGGAGCTTCGGATCGCATTTCCAGAGATTTCCCAACACTGAAAATAGGAAGGTCAGACTTTTGACCCCTTAGACGGTCTTACTAAAATGTACGAACGAAAAAGGGTCATACTGAAGACCGAAAAAAGGTCATACTTCGATGTATGACCGGAAAACGGTCACACTTTATAGTGTATCACGGGTAAAGGCTGATATATCCCCAAGCTAAACAATAGCCAGTCTCGCTGATGTCTGACCTTTTTTTGACCGTTTTTCGGTCATACATTTGTGTATGACCGTTTTTGGGGTCATACTTTTTGTATCACCGAAAATCGGTCAGATGTCTCACCCTTTGAATTTCAGTGAACTTACTTTCAACGGTTTCGCGCTGCTTTCAGGTCGGAGGCGCCATCGCGGCCCTAGTCCCCTCGCTGTTCGGGGACCCACCCGTCGTCCTGCTGTCCATCCTCTCGTACCTGGCCGCCGTCAGCGACAGCGAGGACAGGACTTTCCGCATCGGTATGGTGAGCACGGCGGCGTCTGCGGCCGCCACCGTCACCACCGCCGTGTCCGGCGTGGCGTACACCTCTCTGGGCTTCACGGGAGTCTACGTGCTCAACATAGTGCTGTGCTGCCTGGGACTGGCCTACGCGCACTACAGGCTCACAGAGCCCGAGCCCCCTGTGCCGCGGCCGCCGGGGTTCGTAAGGCCCGATGCTTGGCAACCGGCAGGGGTAAGTTGGGGTGCACTGTAAAGACAAATCTCCGGGATTTACAAACGGGCCTCTGGAAAGAAAATTACGTAGGAACTTTCGTAAATTCACGAAGATTCTTGGTAGGTTTAGTGAGTTTCTTCGAAGTCACGGAGTCTACGTAAACTCCTAAAGGTTCTCGACGATTCTTCGTTTATTTACGAAGAATTGTAAGCAATATTATTTTTCTCAGAGGTCGCTCCGTAAAGTCCCCATTAATTTCTTACAGTGTTGAAAAATACAGGGGGAAAAAGGGACACCATTCTGGAGCCGATACCTCGATTTGCCAGCCATTCCTCGATCACACTCTGATTCCAAAGGGAATACTTTTAGTATCAATTTTGGCGATGCAATTGCACTGTCACAAATTTCCCCCTCCCAAAATACTGGAAAATTTATGGAGTTTTTCCCAAACTTCCATCCGCATGGAGCTCTCTATGAAAGCAAACTCTGGAATATCTTCGAAAAGTTTCTGAATTTTGCACAAAAATGCGTGCTTCACTTTCAGGAAATCACGGGAAAAAGGGTTTGGAACCAGGAAAAGAATGAGCGAAAGGCGACCCCCTCCTTTTTCAGCTCAGTTTTCATAATATTAAGGAATACCTACAGGATATAAGTCTAATAAGATTAGAGGGAGATGGTCCCTTCTTTGGCCATTTCAGGCTAAAGAATGCTTCGGCGAAGCCCTCATGAACATATCTGAGAAGAGACATGCATTACCTCCCATCGGGACTCAAGTAATGCTCCGAAGAAAATTTGTTTTAGCCCTGAGAAAATCTCTCCGAAAAAAGAAGACAGAAACTAAACGGAGTCTCCATAGACGTGATTATAGAGTTTTACTCCATAAGATTTGGTAGCTAATTTCGAACAGTCTGAGTATCGCCAAAAAACACGCCTTGCCCAAATATCTTGCCTTTACAACGGCGATACACAAAAGTTACGCCAAAAATTTGGCGACACTTAAGAGTAATGCCAAGATTTGGCAATTAAATTTTTAGCAAATCTCAGGGATTATAGTAGCTCTTTGTTGCCATATTCTGTCTGTTGATACTCGACAGTATAGCCGAACTTTGGCGGTATCGCCGTTTTTAAGGCAAAGATTTTTCGTTATGCAGTTTGTTGGCGATACTCAATTGTATCGCCTTAATACTCAAGTATGGCCTTTGGATTTGTACTCCAGTTATTTCAACTCAACACAAAAATCTGAACGTGAAATCTTTGTCAGATAGATTTCGGGATCTCTGCAGTTGGCCACAGGAGGGTGTTCTTTTCTTACTCTGCTGTACTTTTCTTGCCCAACTTACACTCTACGAAAAATGTCCTGTCAACGCCGTTAATTTATTACCAATGTTTGCTGTTATGCAATTCACGGCGTTTGCTGTGAACTAGTTCACGGCGTTTACTGTGATTTTGGTTACAGTGTTCACTGTGATCGGGCCACAGTAAACGCCGTGAATTGGAGCCTGATTTGCAGTACTTCGGTGCTCAGCGGCGTCAAACTCACAGTGTTTACTGGGGACCAGATCACAGTGAACACTGTAACCGAGATCACAGTGAACGCCGTGAACTAGTTCACAGCAAACGCTGTGAATTGACCTACAGTGAAAACTGGTAATAAATTAACGGCATTTACAGGACATTTTTGGTAGAGTGTACCCCTACATCTGAGGTGATTCATTCTTCATCCTACAGAAATTGCACGAAGAGAACATGTGTTTGTTTGAGAAGAAGAACGGAAGACGTTTTAGGAGACCAGTGGTCTCAGACCCCTCAGACCACTTCGAGTGACACTGCCGAAATGAAACTTAAGTCTTCCTTACACACACAGCAGTAAAATGTACTGAGTACATTTGTAGAGCACTTACTAAAATGTGTGCACTGATCTCACACTTACCTTTTAAGCTTGAAAGAAGCCAACCTAAAATAAAAAAGGAACAATTGATATTACGGACCTGTGTTTAAATTTGCTCAATTCAGTTTCCAGTTCCAGCTGTCTCAGCCAGAATTGTTATGCGCTCTTATAGTTGGACAACAGTCTAAAATCTCAATTGTGAACTAAGCATGTTTCAGGTTGAAGCAAGCCTGGAGCCACCTGGAGCCAACCTGACATGAAACCTCGTCACTGGAGCACGCGAGCCAAGCACACGCCGGGTGGTGCATACCTGCAAGTACATTGACACTGTTGCTCTGCTTTACATGCCGAAGGAAGGGGACCTCAGCAGCAGTGTACTTGCAGGTATGCGACACCTGGCGTGTACTTAGCAAGCATGCTCCAGCGTGGAGTATACATGCCAGGTACAGGTGGAGTGTACTTGCAGGCACACTGAAGGCACACCTGAAGCATGCTTAGTACATTCTTGAGTTTGTAGAGTATGCTTTGCGCTTGTTTCTGCAACCAGAGTAAGCCTCCTGGCTGACTTTTTCAACTGGCACCACGTGAAAGATACCGTCACCGTGAGTCTTAAGAAGAGGCCCGGCACGCGCCGCCTGCAGTTGTACATGGTCGCCCTCCTCTACTTCGCACTCTTGGGCCCTGTTGTGGGTAAGCGAGGAAACGCGGAACGAAACACAAAGCAGCTCGTTTGGTGTATTTTGGGTGTATTTATAAGTCTCATCTCTGCATCATTTTCACCCTTAAAACCTTACGAAGTATTTTGAGCATAAAAAGTACAAACCAATTATACGAGGAAATAATTCGTAAATTACGAAGTATTTTGTTAAAGCTAATGTGTGCTCAAAATACTTTGTTATGGCACGCTGCTTCTCTTTTCAAGGCCCAAAATAGTTCGTAAGGTTTTCAGAGTGTCCCCTTTGCGGCACGCTGCCTTTTCAAGTTTTAATTTTTCCTGCAGATATCAATCCGCCTTAAATCACCCAGTACAAATACGACTATGAATTGAAAACCCCCAATTATGTTTAAACTGTCCCGTCATCCCTTCCCTGCTTTCCTTCTTCAGTCGCGCCACTGAAAATGGCGTGACTTCGTGCCAAAAATCGGCGTGGCTCTGAAATTCACGCCATTGCCGGGTTTTGGCACGACTTTTCTCATAAAACGCATTGTTCACACCAATTCACATGGTACTTTCATGCCCGATGACGGCGTGACGTACACGTCATGCTGTTTTTCAGCGTGAATTTCCTGTCACGCCAATTCTTGGCGTGACTTATTGTCACGCCATAATTTTGCCATGCGTCCGACCATTCAATTTTCAGTGTTTTCAATGCATTTTCAATGCTGCTGGCGTGACAGAAATGGCGTGAAAGAAAAGCCATTTCACAAATCGGCGACACTGGGAAGTCACGCCAATGTTTTGGCGTGACTCCAAAGTCACGCCAATTGTGCGGCGTGAATTTCCCGTCAGACCGGTTTTTGGCATGACTTTTCCCATGACACGCCGACATGGTACATTCACGTCATATATCGGCGCGTAGCTTTCTTATCACTCCGATCTTTTGCGTGACGTTTCGTCATGCCATAATTTGGTCATGAGTCGAACCACTCAATTGTCAGTGACTGCTGAGCGATTCTCACGTTTCGGGGTAGTTTCGTTTCTTCTGACTCCTGTGCCCAAACGAGCGCAGATATCGACATGGGGTTTGTTTCTGATGTTAGGGAGGGCCATTGCCCACTGAACGCACACATTTCGTAAAGTTCACGTTCGTTGGATTGGTCTACGTAGCGTTTGGAATACCCTAAATGTAACTTCCGTGATTGTTCAAAGAGAACAAACTCGAACTTTCCGCCCCCAGTGTGGCGGTGTGGTTAGAAAATGCTGCCAACTGTCGATGGGGATTCGAAGCTTGGCATGTCTCGAGCTAATTTCAATCGAAGACCAATACGCCAGACTTCTTTCAAAGGTACTTATGCTGCAACGAAAAATGTCCACCGTATATTCAATTTCACTACACAAATTTCGAAAAGGCAGCTCTGGACTTCTCCCCAAGCCAAACTTTTAACTTTCCATGACACAAGCCATCAAAGTGGAGTCCCTGGGACATAATTGCATGGGTCGCGGAAACCTAAGATGCTGTACACGGTCTCAAAGCGGGCTAGAGCATTATAAAATGGCGTGTATCAACAATTACCTGTAACTTCCGTGGCACCCTTTACCCAATGTTGCAGCAGCACTAGGTGAAAAAATTTTCCGCTTAAATGTCGGGCTTAGAGTATCATTTGACCCTGGAACGACTTTTAAGCCACAGCAAGCCCGAGTCAGCCGTTAAAGCCGATTTTCACACTTTGTAACTTCCGTGATAACGTAATTTCCGTGATCAAAACACCCACTAAAACGTATGGGAATACCTTATGGCTCATGTTTTTACGAAGGTAGTACAAGGTCTTTACTATAAATACCATTGCCACAACTCTAGTATCATCCAGGACCCCAATAATAAAAAAAACTTAATCGGATATTTCTCACTTTCGGCAAATCAGAGACGCCAAAACTACCCCGAAACGTGAGAATCGCTCTGCTGGATTGGATCTTCCCCGCTGGGTCATGTGAAGCCTTTTCTGTTGGCCAGGGGAGTCGTCTGTAATCTTCCTGTACCTAACGCAACGCTTCAAGTGGGAAACTCTCCAGGTTAGCGCCTTCTTCACGTTCACCGGGATCATCGACTCCGTTGGCAAGTGCTCGCAAACCCTTATAACTGAGAATTGAAGAGTCTTGATGAATACCAGATTTTGGGCGAAGATTAGGGGCTTAAGATGGGTGATAAAAGGTTGTATCTGCTACCCAGATAGCTGAGTAGTATTATCACACAAGGTTGGGCAGTGACATGATTCTACGCCGAGGAGTAAACAACTTGAATTTTGGTGTACGTTTCCCTGGAAATACCGTGAATTAACGTTGAAATGACATCGAAGTAACGTTGAAATAACGAAATATGGCGAAATAATGTGAAGTTCCACGAAAAAGCATCGAAACACTCTTGAAATAACGTGAATTTGAAATAACGGTGTACAAAATTTTTCGAAGTTGATTGCCCTACGTTCCACGCCAAATTTTAGTCCCTAGTTTATGACTCTTTCATTTTCAGTGATGGCAATACGTAGGGAATGCCATGCTAACCGATACTAACTTGTGGTAACATCTCTCTTTAAGGATGCTTTGTGGCCACAACAGTCTTCGCCAAGTGGCTCCACATGAGCGATTGCCTAATAGGTATCATAGCCATTGGATGCAATGCATTTACCTCACCCGTATTCGCTCTGGCGTCGACGGACTGGGCGGTCTACGTGGGTGAGTGCTTGGACTTTACCTTCGCTTAGGAGAGAAATACGAGTCCCAACCTAAACCTGGACACTTTTAAACTCACGAGGAAAATGACGTGCGTGCACCTGCAAAGCCGGTGTTGGAACATAACCTGCGTAGGTGATTCATCCTAGGCCAGCGTAAGCTGGCCTTTGTGGACTGTTGAGCCTGGCACCCGAGGTAAGGTCATATGGAGGATAGGTCGGCGCATTCGAGATGCATGCTGGGAGACCCGGTCTCCCAGAATGCATCTCGGTTGCGCCGACCTACAGTATCTTCCATATGACCTTAACCCGAGGGGGTATGCACTATCAAAACCTGCGACCTGACTTTTACGTCTATTACGCTTTGTTGCGCCACAAAATTATCATAATTTAGTGTAAAGCAGCCCAAAACAACTTGAAAGATTGGTTAAATTCGGAGAATTTCGCCTATTACGTCACTGTGAATAGTAATTGCACCTATTTTGCGTAATAAAGCGTAATGCGAATACTCTGCAGGTGAAAATTCAGAGTGAAAACACCCTCGTGCTATGACGGGTGACCTGATTTTTCTGCGAGTGCGCACTCCTTCGTGACTGCCTCGGTTGGGAACAATAAGTTTCCTTTTCCGTGTGGCCGGGGCCATTTGCTGGAGAAGACCGGATTCTTGTCCACAGCAGACTTTCCCCCGTTTCGTCTGCCTCTTTGTCTGTTCGAAGCCAGCTTTTTCCCCCCTATCTCAATATTCCTTATACCTCAAAAATTAAAAATAAATAGTAATTTTTCTCAAGTTTTTTTAAGTTGTTGTTTTTACGCTTACTAAACCTGTTTACATTGCGCAGCAAAACACAGTTCGAGTTTCTTGAAACAGGAAGCAGATGTTCTCATTTCTAGGTATTTCCTTCTCACGCCGCATCTATTTTGTTTCTCAGTGTATGCAGCAAGCATCTTGGGCGCAGGAGGATTCATCACCATGCGAGGCATTGCCACCAAGCTTGTCGACACGGAGGAACTGGGTACGATTTACCGCAAGCCACAAATGTTTGAGCTCAATAAGTCACACGTATGCAAACTGCACGGTTAAAACGGAACCTAGTTTTCCCCGGAAGCCTATGCTAGAGACATGGGCGATTTCCAGGGAGTTGCTGGGAAAACCAGGTTCCGTTTTCACCGAGTGACAAGAGTAGTTTTTTTTAACGCCACACAGAAATTTGTATCATGGGTTGAGCGAAGCCAGTTTCGACCCGCCCAGGCCGCTTAACCTTTATCTAACGTAATTTTAGGAATTCACGTATGATTGTAATTATAACGCTATGCTCTATGCTTCGATTTCGTAACATTCAACCTGTCGTAGAATGTAAAATCTTTCTACCTTATATATTGTATATTGTAATATAGAAATTATGACTAACATGTTCCTGCGCACCAACTTCCGAAAAACAAGGCCCTCAAAGAAACGCGGTTATTAATCAAAATATCTTTAAGCGCTTTGAAGTGAAAATAAACTACTTTACATAACATGTTATCCACGAATGTGACATCATATTCGTTAGAATGTGAATGTTGCCTTGATCAACATGTCGTGACAAAACGGACGTGTCAACATGCACATTGTAACGGTTATGACGTCACATCCCCAGCGATATTTAGTGCGTTGCAGCCGTGGCGTTGAGAACTGCAAGGCATTTCCCGTTAAAATCGTCCCATTGTAGTGGTTGTTGAAATCTGAGTGGTCATCTGTCATAACAACGCATGTTCATAGGGAATCGCATGGTAGATACGCTGTTGTGTCCGACAGCTACAGATCTGTTTACTTCATTTGGCAGGCAAGGTGATGTCATCGCTGGCCGTCGTTGAAGCCATCATTCCACTCGTGTTCGTCACCCTATACAGCAAGCTGTACAGCGCCACGGCCGATTCGCATCCCGGCGCCTACTTGTACATTTCGTGCGGGGTCTACACGCTCGGGATGCTCCTTTACTGGTGAGATCTTTGGTGCAATGCTTCCCGAAAAGGCCCTATGCTAATGCATGGGAAATGGCATTGCACTTCATGTGCAATGCTTTCGCATTGCACCAATTGACGCTGTACTCATAGCGTTTGGATTCTCAGTGCTGTGACGTCACATTAATTCGTCAGAACAAGGTTTGCACGCGTTTTAACGGCGTGCATTGACACGCTTTAGGGGAGAGTCTACTGAAAATGTTATATTCTTCAAATTTATCCCAAATGTAGCATAAATGTTGCGGGTTCGGAGTATTATGCTGAAAATCAAAAAGTGATACTTCCCACCCTGCGAGGAGTGAGACATAACTGACTGACTGAAAAAAGGCGATACATTGACGTATCACCGAATAAAGGTGATACATTTATCACCGAAAAAAGGTGATACATTGATCACCGAAAAAAGAGTGATACTTTACATCGCCGAACAAAAGGATGACACCTTTATGTAACGCCGTTAAAAGGTGATATTTCGTCCTGGAAAACATAGGGGCCACTCTTGCTGCTGTTTGACCTTCTTTTCGGTGATTCTTTGGTAGGTTAGCCCTTTTTTTCGGCGATACATTCATGATCGACCCTCCTTTTGGCGATACTTTGTGTACCGCCGAAAATTGGTGAGATGTCCGACTCTACAAATTTCAGTGTGCACAACATGCCACTGCCGTATTTTAACTAAATATAATGGTCTCGACATTTTTCAGTTCCCTGCCTCATATACAAAGCGTGGCACAAGCAGGACAGAAAACATAACCAACAGACATGGTTTTTTTTTTTAAAAAAATTCTTAAAATTTGAGAAGCATTTTGTTTTATAAGCACTATTTATAATACAGCTATGATCCAGGTGTCTAACTTATGGAAGAATTTCTTCAGTTTGAAGCTAAGCGTGCTTCAACTTTCAAAGCAGTAGTAATAAAAGAAGCGAAAAATGGCTACACCACAGCTTTCGTTGGAAAACTTTGGGTAGGAGGACTTTTATTCATTTTCTTTATACTGCTCTGAAAGTTGAGATTTCCCGAAAAGAGTCACCAAATAGATGTAGTCTCTGCGAGTATACCCTTTAACTTAGCTCGAAAAAAAATTGTCTTGATTTTCTCCCATCCAAAATGAGCCCAAACAATGAATAACCGTTCAGGAGGTGTGCTCCTTAAACATTTGGAAACACTCACTGAAAAACCAAACGTGGTCCAGACCGCACCACTGGTGTGGTCAAGACCACGTTTGGTTCTTCAGTGCTGAACAATGTTGAAATCACAGCTACACCAGAGAGGAAGCATTTTAAAGACGTAGTACCACTCTACAAACTGAAGTGTGCACTCAGTATGCGTCTACAGATGCATACTTGGCCGTGTACAGATCTACAGATACATACTTGGCTTTGTACATACCTACAGATGCATACCTAACTCATCCAAGTATGCATCTGCATGATGTGTACTCAGCTGAGTATGCATCTGCAGACGCATACTGAGTACGCACTTCAGTTTGCAGAGTGGTACACTTACCCTTTCATTTCAGCAACGTGTCATCACGTTGGAATGAGTGTGACGAAGGGTCACTTTTTTTTTGAGCACTGTGTCACAATCGTTTGGACGTGAATCAGCCATAAATTACCTTATTCACCTTAGAACGAATCTGACACAATGATCTTAGGAACGTGACACAATGTCACATTTGTTTCAACGTGATGTCACGTTTTTGGAATGAGAGTAATGAGAGTGTAACCTGGCATGCCTGGCATGAGCCTGAAGACTATCCTCCGAAGAGCTGAACCCGTTGTTTCTGTTGCAGTGCCATCTGGTGGTTGCAGTGGACGGAGGCCCGGCAGGCCAAGAGAAGGAAGGAGAACGACGATATGAATGGAGTTGCAAACGCGGCTTTTGAAGGCTCATTCACAACAGACGTTGGCAGCGAACCTTTCGAAAACCGCGTGGTTCGGTTATAAAGGGTCGACGAAACTAGCAGCGCGCTGTTACAAAAGACTGATAATAGATCGTTCGCGGGGTAAGAAGATTACCCTTGACGTAGAATCTATGTTAAAAGCAAATTGGTTGTGGGAAACCACACTCCCAATATCCTACTGAGCGTTCTCTTCGCAATAGTAACAGTAACCCCAGTGTTATGACTGCGCAGCGAAGGTGAAGACTTCTCAGTTAAGTATGACAATTTTCGTCATATTTCGTACAAATTTGTCTGTGACAGATTTGTGTGGTGAAGTACTGAGAATTGGCGTAGTAATGTAAAGAAATTCGTCTGTCGCTACTGACATTAGAAACTCCAATTTTTCCATTGAAAGATTGGTTAGTTTTCTGTCCAATCTTTTGTCTATAAGCAATTGGTAACGTGCCAAAAATGTTTCCAGTGCAGACACGAATTTCACCCAAATCCAGTATCAAAATTGCCCTTTACTGTTAAGTGTGCGTCTTGTGGCTGAAAAGTCACGGTGAAAAGGGCAACGTGCATTTGAAGGAGTTTTCTTCATTGTGCTCTGTGGGAAAATTACAGTAATAGTTTTAGGGGAAGGGGCATGCTTTGTTAGCGAAAATGAAAATCTGAAATTTACTTTTTGATGAGCTGTATCTAGTGAAAACCACGATAATGGTACGGGGCGTTTTTGTCGAGGTAGGGAGAGGTTGATGGCATTCATGGAAAAACTCTGGATACTCGAAAGTGCGTTTTAATTGGTTTGTTTCTCAACCTTTTTTACTGACTTGCTTCATAAGTTCTTGGTTACTCAGGAATACAAAGTTATTACGAATAAAGTTTGATATATAATGTTTATTTAATTACGTTACTTTTAACACCATATCCCACAATACTTATATCAAATTGACCAAAACCACCCACTGAGTTGTATTAATTTCTCAAGTACTTTTATGTTACTTCTATCCCACAAAACTCATAAAAGTGACCAAGTCACAACTGTTTCGATTTCTCAAGTAGTTTTGAAAAATTCACAATTTTTGTTAAGATGAAGTGATTTTAGTATACACGTTTATTCTTTGTTACTTGGACGACTCGCTCGTACCATTCGCATGTTCCGCATTTGCATGGAAGCCACTTTCCTTTCACCGTGTAACGTGAAATTTCACCTTACACGAATAAACACGAAAAGACGGGGGCCCCATGTAATCCAGGCACAAACAAGTCCTGAAGTAACAATGGATACATGAGCACCAAAAACATCATTTGGATGAGACAAAATTAAATTCTCAAAAGAAATTTCGGAAGACGTCGAGCGTAGGAGCAGAACTGATAAACAGACCGACTTGGCAGAATTGTCCTAGAGAGACGCATAGCATTTGTAGCACGTTCTGCGCTGACCGCACTGGTCGACGACAGCGCGAGCTCACTCGGTATCTTGATCGGCTACCAGGCGCCTTCCCGGCAGGCAACGCTTGAAGCGCAGATTGCAGCCGTGGAATTGGGTCCAGTGGGACTTAAGTGCCAGGAAGTCCAGGAACGTCGCAGCGCAGTTACTGCAGCCCCAGCTGTGGCGTCGTTGTGACGATTCCTGATGGGTGGGCTGCAGGCACAGCGGGCAACGGCTTCCCGGCGTCGTAGCGTGGCGGCTCGTGTAGTGCTCCACGTAGTCCTCCCAGCACGCGAACCCCTCGGAGCAACCGATGTAGGTGCACCAGCCGACGACCTGGAAAGTTGCACACGGTCATCTGACATGCTCTGCAAATACAGTGGTGTGCCAAGCAATTATCAAATCCAAACGCTACATATAGCGTCAATTGGTGCAATGCTTTTTCATTGCACATGAAATGCAAATGCCTTCCCACTCCCATGCATTGCATTGGGCGGGCATTTTCGCGAACCATTGCACGTAAGGTGCAATTTGGCTGTGGCATTGCACGAATGGTGTGCGACATCTCAGTGCATTGCCCCATACGCGCTATACTTTAAGCGTTTGGAATCTCAGTGCACGCACTGCATTGAGTTTCCAGAGTACATTCCTTTCCTTGCCCAACTAAATACGCGAATCATGGCTCGTCAGATGCAATTAATGTATTTTGTATCGCACAGTTTCGTAATTGTCGTCGGACATTTGTCTAATTAAAACAAAATGCCGTGGTGACGGGGACGGGACGGTAGAAAATCTGCAATTCCCCAACATCATGACCAATTTCAAATGATCATTTATCATTTGCCATGAAATTTGCAATATGCTAAGTGCACGAAAACTTTGTTCCGGTGATTAAGTTTTCTCGACTGGGCTGAATTCGATAGCTGCAATCGAAAAAGGCTGAAAGCAACGCCGAATATTTGTAAGAGAACGACTACGCTGGTACATTGCCATACTTGTGAATAAGTAAGTATGCACACTAAATTCTTACGAACTTTTTAAATGCATAATTGTGCATTTTTAATCCATAGTTATGCTATGCATGCACAGATACGTTCATAAGGAAAGAATAATATTATGCATACCTTATAAACCTATCTGTGCATGCATAACTATACATAAAAAAGTCCATGAGAATTAAGTGTGTGTACAGTTGAATATGTTCTGATACATATTCTGCTGAAGTAATTATGAACCTGAACCAGATTTATGTGCAAAATTGTACATAAATTTCACCTACACAAATACGGCAATAGCAATTCCACTTTCTGTCTGAATTTTAATAAATTTTTACACAGTGAACGACTTTGTCGTTTTACAACAAGGCAACCTGTTTATTAAAAACAAAAAAAGCGTCATCGAGGCTAGTAATTGTATTGTTGACATGTAACAACCTTATTTAACAGTGTGCAAATGTCCCGGTCGTAGCTCTTGGTTGCAGCTGCCGAATGCAGCCTATCGCACACAGTTGAACACTTCTTCGAAGTTTTTCTTCTCGTGTGCGGAATGTTGACGAGAGGAACGACAGTACTTACCCGCCTTCCACCAGGGAGACTGTTGGCTGCCTCTTGCTCGCCGTCGTCGTCGCTCCAATCCTGCAGCAACTGCTCTACGGAGACAACCGAAGACTTGGACGGGGCTGCAGTACCTGAAACACGCGTCAAACAAATGAACAAAGCGGGAATGCAAAGGCTGAATTTAGAAGCCTGAAATGTCAAATCACAACAACCATGCGCGGAAGGTACCACTACTCTCTGAATAACTGCCGTTTCTGACAGGATTTAAACCTGCACGTGCATGCTAGTCCACCAGCCAGTCCGAACGCACCTTAGGCCCCCCTCCAGCATGCACAGTCCAGTCAATAGAACACTTCATACACAGTAAAACGATGACGTTCATCCAAAAAAAATACTAGCACTAATGTGGAACGACTATACCTGCAATTCCGTTCACAGCATTGCCAATACTGCGTGATAACGTTTGAAACACATACTTGCCGTTCGATGGTCATTTGCAAGGCAAGTTTCACAACCTAAGAGAAAGCAGTGACCTTCCAGGTCCTTCAGCTCTCAGGATGCGCAGTTGCTCCGGACCTCGACACGTCTGCTATGAGCAATAATTGCAACAGAATCTGAAAATTGAAGTATGGAAAAATAGCTCTGCTTTTCCCACGTTCACTGCAGAAAAGAAAAATATTCCAAATTAAATTTGAGAAACTTGTGATTGTGTGTGTGGAGTCCAACTATGTGAGTTGCAAAGTATATCTGTTGCAAGAGACTCGACCATAAGGTAAAGGTGAAATCTTGCCGAATGAACCTGTTACGCTTGATTTCAAGCGTAAAGTGATAACGCTAGAAAACAGGGTAACGTTACGCTTTAGTTTCCAGCGTATACCCGGTAAAAACATCAACAGTTTTTGCCGTGCAGCGCAGATTCTCTCCTTGTGCTAAGTGACAAATTCAGGACTATTCTCTGGCAGGATAGAAACCATGAAATCATACATATGGGGACAAATAGCAAGACACGGTAAAGGGCCGTTCAAATATGAGGTCACACTTTTCAGGCTCATTTTTCGACCATTTCCCAAAAAAGTCACTATTTAGACCCCCCCCCCCCTCCCTAAGGTCATATGGAAGATAGGTCGGCCCTCCCCCCGCGACGTCACATGAGTCCAAATCATTGTTCTTGGCCACAGGGATAGGTACGCAAATAGCTCGTCTAGATTAGGTGCCTTGATTGAGATTACACAACGATTTGATTGCATATCGAGAAATCTGGTCGCACGCTAACTTGTTCGAAAACATCTGAGCAAAGTGCATCGAAAAATACTCAAGGCAACGAAAACTCACTCTCATCACGTTGAAACGAACGTGACAAAATGTCAGGTTCGTTTAAGCACTATGTCACATTCGTTAGGGTGCGAATCGGCCAAAAATTAGCTAGTTTACATCCAAACGAATGTGACATTCTGTCGCGGTCGATTCAATGTCACGTGACGTTCCTGGAATGAGAGTGTTCGAGCTGAAGAAGGTGGGGATTGCGGATTTCAGTTTATTTTAAAGTGGCTCACTCTTTTTGTATTTGGCAATTTCACACTGCTTCTAAGTGTGATGTCACAATGACATCATCTCTCTCTCTCTCTCCCACGTCACGTCACATTTGGTCACAATTTCTCAGTCCCTTCCCTCTAAAAAGTGTGACGCTAAACGGCCCCTAATCAAAGCGCTCAAAACCTTACGCAGTAGTTTGAACATAAGAAGTAAGCTGAAATTATTCCTTGTACACACTAAATGTCATGGGACTTTTTTTTGTCCCATGAATGATGCAATTTTAAGCACAACCGGTGGTGATGCAATTTTGAGTCCGCCTGGCGGGACAAATTGTCTAGTGAAAGTACAATTTGCAGCAGGCGTCGGACAAAATGTGTCGCCAGGCGGGAACAAAATTGTATCAGCGTTGGATGTGCTTAAAATTCCATAAATCGTGGGACAAAAAAAGTCCCATGACATTTAGTGCGTAGCAAGCAATAGTTCTTAAAATACGAACTAATTTCTTTAAAAGCTTACGTATGCTCAAAATACTTCATAATGTGAGGCTTCCTCACTTTGTAAAGCTTCGATGGTTAATATCTTCAAAGTTTCGAATCATTAGCGCCCCACACAGAACCGTGAGCGCGCCATCTACACGCTCATTTTCTTACGCACTTTTTTACACGTATTACGATGATGTGTCAAACTGGTAATAACAGCAACAACAACACAATTACCAACCTCGACAACGCTGTTGTTTGTGAACAAGTTTGGTTGTTATAAAACGACGAATTCGTTGCTAATTATTTTAATGACTTATGCTGTTTCAAAACAATATTTTGCTGCGTACAAACAACCCGGACAATCTAAGAAGTGGTTACTGCGGGGTAACCGGGACTCTACTAGGTCTGTGACCTAATCGGCAATAAAAATTGATGCAAATAAGGCTGTCTACCGGTTTACAAACATCTTGTGGACGAACGACGCAACTCGTTAGTAGACAACGAAAGTCATTTGAAAAGAACTATGATCATTAAGAAAATTAGCAACATATTTACTGCTAAATCACAACATAATTTTTAACAGTGCATCGTAAGGTATGCATTAAATTTGCACCTACGTAACATGCTCAAATGTCTACATATGATTTCTTCGTATAGGATATTCCAATGAAGCTTAAAACAAATGAAGAATAAGCCCCAACAACACTGTTAAAAATTCTGAAAATTCAGACAACTTTTTTCAGACTTGACGTTATGAAACACCAATTAAGACCTTTTTATGAAATTTCATAACTTTTGTCTGAGATGTCAGACAGGGCAGTCTGAGACCGTGCTTGGTCTGAATATTTGTACCCAGTCTGAAATTTCATAATGAGGGAAGTCATAAAATTAAGATTAGGCTGACTAATACAAAGCCAGATATACAAAATCAAACGTCGCGCATCAAAGCATTATGATATTGGCAGTTGTTATGTTGAGGGAGCTTGTTGAATGCAAACTGTGGACCAATCACTTCTCACATGGTTTGGTCCACTTGCTTGCAGCCGCCTGGAGTTACGTTTCAGGGACCTGCCGCTAGGTGGCGCCTGGAGCGCCGCGGCAGATCGCCACTTTGTATTTCCGATTAATGACATTAAAGTAAATAATTTTTGCAAACAGCATCATCTGTTGCTTTAGTAATTATCAGCTCTAGCCTTTAGCAATAAGTTTGAATCAAAATATTACTCTGAAGTCGATCAAAGCGCATTTCAATGTTGGCTCTCGCTGGCGTCTGCGTTCGGTCATTAGGTTGGGTGCCCGCATGATCCTCCGTGATGTTGTGGCACACATGGGAGATTCAATATGAGTACTGTCCCTCGAACGACGAGCGCCCCAGTGTTACTGCGGACCATCTCGTCTGATATTTTATGAGTAGCGATGGTGTCCATCGTGCGCGGAATCCCGGCGCGCTTTCAAGTTTGCTCTTTCTCTCACAGGAGAAAAATCGTTATCCGTCCAGTAGGTCCGCCCTAACAAGCGTCTAGACCACCACAATAGGCTGCCCTTTCCGCACGATTGCTGCAGGATGAATTCACACAGTATGTTCTAAAATTTTGGACAAAAAGTATGAACTTTCAGCTACAAAGCAGTGGGAATTTTAAGACTTGGCCATGTCTGAATTTAAAGACTTCATTTTCAGACCAAGACGAGTCTGAAAATTAATAACGAGTTTATGTAAAAGTACTTCACTCAAATTAGTCTGAAAATTCAGAAAAAAATTTTAACAGTGAAAGTAAGTGTACGCCAGACCGTGTCTTGTCGTCACAGGCTTCGCGATGCTGCGTCAGTTACTACAATCCACGCCGAGCAGAAATTTATGTTGGGGCAGGTAATAAAGCATTTCGTGACTCCGTGTTGAAGGGTTTCAAGAGCGAACCGCAATAAATAATTTACTCGACCCTTCATTTTTTCTGAAACCTTAATCTGGCAGTCTGGGTCTGTTGGGCAGTTGGTCACACAAACAGAAAAAACTTTCAAACCCCACCCGAGTAACGGGCTTCGCTATCGCTCAGCTAATTAACACATGAACAGTGCTAGGAGAGAAGGAATCAAAAGCTAAAAGATTTTGTATTGCCAGACATTAGCTTTTCGTAAATGGCTTCGCGACGCTGCGCCAGTTCCAACTCACGCCTGGCGCGTAAATCTTCCTTGGGCTGCGGCGCTTGCCTGCCCTCGGCAGACTGACTCCACGGTAAAAACGATACCTGGGATTCCCAGGAGCCCATATTATAAGGTATAGGAGTTTCCAGGAGATTCCTGGGATTCCCATGAAGCGTTTTTACCGTGTCTATTGGAACTTTCAACACATCGGCACACTAAGTGACTGCATTCGCCGTCAAAGCAGCATTCGGTTTAAACATTCATGCTGAGGGCGGAGGCTGTGAGACCCCTCTTTCAAGTGCAGAGCAAATGTGGTTCGCGGATCATCCCTTCGGGTTGAGTCCCCCCATTTCGACTCTGGAGCTCAAAACGCGCCTGCACCCTGCCTGCACCTGTCTTCTCTGGCTCACTGTGCAGCCCTGAACCTTGGCATCAATTTTCCAGCATTCGTGAGTTCGTGTGTGTGTGTGTGTGTGTGTGTGGGGATTAAGTCGAAATACTTTCCCATTATCTCCAACGGTTCAATAAATCAAATCATAAAAATTTCGTAAATCCAACTTTCATTGACTATATATAGAACTGTTATAATATACATAACTATACATCATTTCTAGCAATATTTATTTGGCTTGCGTGTTCTTCCTCGCTGCTCCTCGCTTGGGCTTGGGGTCGGGCGGGTCCGCCGAAGCTGATAAGTTTGTCCTTCACTTAAATGCTTGCATGCGCGCATGGCGCAGCTTTTCTTAAACGTTGCAGTGCACAAGAAGTGTATCATCGACCAGCCCTAGGTTCTGCCTCACTGTTATAAACAAGGTAGGTGTACGCCAGACCGTGTCTGGTCGTAACAGGCTTGGCGATGCTGCGCCAGTTTCGACCATCCACCAGTGCGTGGTAACTCCGGCCTTATAGGATTCTGTTATTTGACCGAACTGGAGGAGCAGGGCGACAACGTGACGCGGGCTAAAAGCAAAAATCCTCCCGTGTTAGGGGCAAATCTGCAACGATGCTATTTATCGATATTTGACGTGTTTTTGATAGAATAATGCGTGTAAAATGAAAGGAGGCGTAAATGAAACAAAATTATTCCATAGCAAGTTGTCAGACCTATTAGACTTTTCAAATTTTGTCAAGCATTTTTGCTTGTAGGTTGGTGGAATCGGGTTGTCGTCTGCTGAAGTAAATATTTACAATCAACAAAACACACTGTCTGCTATTTTGTTTACTAAATTTTGTAAACATCGTCTGCTTGTTTGTAAACAAACTTTAGTAAATATGGTCTGCATGTTTGTATACAAGCTTTTGTAAACAACTCCATGTTTGTAAACTTTCCTTTGAGTCTATTTTTTTGAGCCAAGATTTTGAGGTGTTTACTTGTATGTCCTTAATTCTTTGAACAGGGATTGGTAAAACCTAATGTTCAGATATTCGTTTTTGATAATGTTCTTTTATTGATCAAACAGTTGTTTAAGATACATCTTTGCATAGCTTAGAATAAATCCGCAACAGGCACACAAGAGTTGGAAGCCTTCTGGCACCGCAAAGACAACCCAGGATTGAAAGTTGTCTTCTTACAGTACTCGCAGCGGCATTTTCTTCAGGCAAAGATTTGTGTCCCGGCTATTGAAGTCAAGTCTGTCTAAATGGTTTTTCTTCCTAGCATTTGTGAGTGCATACTTGCAGGTACACAAAAGTGCATACTTGTAGCGCTTTAAATGGGCGCTCAAAAGTGTGTGATTGCCAAAAAAAGCACTATTAAACCACAGTTCAGCACAGCATCAACAAAAGGGAAGAAGTCAAACTGGCGTGTAACTA